CTTGCCTCAAAAACTTGTTAGCTGTGTGATCTTGGACACTTTCCTGGGCCTGAGTTTCTCCATCTATAAAATGGGGGAGTTAGATTTAATGGCCTCTAGGGTTGTTTCTAGCTCTAAATCTATGATTCTATGCTAGTTGCAACCTTGTAAGAAACTAGTTAACTTTTGGGGGGTCTAGGTTATTGCCCCTCCATCTCCAGCCTGAGCCCCAAAACTGGCCCCCAAGCCTAGCCAAGTTCATTGTCATGCAGGAGTTTCCTCTTAAAAGAGGCTGGGCCAAGGTGGAGGTGGCAGGTGGAGTGGGAGGGGGGAGAATGGGGCAGAACAAGAGGAGACAGCCCATTTCTCAAACAGAACTTTCCACTGCCTCGAATTATTCAGAGGAAAACCTTATCAAACCACCCTCCAGGTTGGTGCCATCCATCTTCCATATGTAATTCGATGGCCCTTTCTTGGCTATGATTTATTAGGCATGTGGCTGCAGGGAGGTTGGTATTTGTAATACAGCCCATTTTTATCAATGACCTGCTCCCCACCAGCCAAACAAATGGGCCCTTTGTTTAATCCTGTTAACCTGCTCTCTGGCTCTAGCAAGCTCTAGCCCTCCTATCCTGCCCATTTGGGAGAAGGCTGGAATGGTTCAGATCTCAGTGGTTAGAATTCAGGGTGCTTCACAAGACATTTAGAGCTAGAAGGAACCTTAGAGACCATCTGCTCCAAATCTGCTGACCCCTTCCCCCAAAGATCCAAAAAGAAGTGATTTAAGATTTAGAATTAGGGGCTGTCGGATAGAAGGGACCATAGAGACCATTTGTCCACACATTTCACCCCCCCCCCATTTTAGAGATGAGAAAACAGGCCCTCAGAGTCAAAGTGATGATTTAAGTTTACAGTCGGGTTCTTAACTAAGAGTATGTGAACCCCTAAAAGGTTTGTGGATAGATTACAAGGGGTGAATTTGGATTTTGGTGAATTTTGGAGAAAAAAATGACATATTAATGTAATTTAATTGGAGTTAGAGGATATGGGCTCAAATCTTGTGTCTGGTTCTTTATTACTTGTGTGACCTTGAGGATGTCACTTCATTTCTTGGGACCTCATTTCCTCATCTGTAAAATGAGGGGGTTGGACACCATGGCTTTTGAGATTCCTTTCTGCTCTAGTCTATGATCCTTTGGCCCCATGAGACCATGTCCTCAAGGGCTGATGTCCTTGGAGGGCATACAGAGACATTAGGAAGCTTCCAGGAAAAAAAAAAAAGGATGACATACTAGTAAAAATGACCAGATGGAAAGGTGGGCAAAAGGTGGCGTTAAAAAAATTGTAGAGGTTTGATTGGTTGGAAGTATCTCACACTTTATAGGATAGAGAGCATGGATTGGATAGGCCCAAACATTGGTTATTTTGACATGACTGTGTCCCTCACCTCTAACCCGCTGTGTAGGTTACTATGAGAGCTGACCTTCCTAGACTATTGGTAGTCCATGTAATCTAGTATCTATTGAGGACCTAGTGTGTCCAGCACTGTACATAAGGTCTAGGACTAGGAAAGTGACAGCCCAGTTGACCTCTGCCCCAGCTGGATCTCATGTGAAATCTGTGTTCAGTTTTGGAATCCATTAAGCTAGTATTATCTCTCTTTTACAGATGAAGAAACTGAGGTTGGGAAAGAGGTTAAGTGAGTGACTTGTCCAGAGTCATACCTAGTAGGTAGGGTTTGAACTTAGGCCTTCCTGACCCCAAGACCAGAAGTCCAGAGTTCCACACATTCCAACAAGGAGCTTATTACTTATAGTAGTGAATAATTAAGTGTTGAGATGAGAATACAAATACATAGGATATCATACAGAACAATGCTAGAGCTGGAAAGAGACTCAGAGACATTCCCTTTAAACCCTTCATTTGGCTGACAAGGAAGTTGGGGCTCAGAAAAGTCAAGAGACTTGCCCAAGGCCATACAACTAGTGAGTAGCAATGCCAACACTTAAACCCAGGATAATATGACTGAAGTTCCAGCTGTTCAGGAAACTTATGCCCAGTAGTGACCCTAGAATGAAAATGCAAACAAATCCCCCATTTTACAGATGAGGAATCTTGGGCCAAGAGAAATTATTTACCCAAGGTCACCCAGAGAGTAATTTCCTTATTTGACAAAAGTCAGTGGCTCTCTATATCCCTTAGTATAAATTATAAATTACTCTGCTTAACTTGTAGAAACCCTGCAAAACTTGACCTCAACCTGTATTCCAGTCTCATAAAATGTGACTCCTCATCTTTTATTATGTAATCTAGCCTTTTCTCTGTTCTTCATATGTCACATTCATCTCTAATCTCCAGGCCTTTGCACTAGCTACCCGCCACAATGCTTAGAATATACCCCCTTCACACCTCTGGTGTTCCTAACTCCTTTCAAGGTACAACATAAGCACCCGCTTCTACCTGAAGCCTTTTCTTATTCCCACCCTCAGTGTGAATGCCCTCCTTACCCAACTACTTTGGATTTACCTTTGTTATTATTCAGTCATGTCTGATTTTTCATGACCCCATTTGAGGTTTTCTTGGAAAAGATACTGGAGTGATTTGCCATTTCCTTCTCCGGCTCATTTTACAGATGAGGAAACTGAGGCAACAGGGTTAAGTGACTTGCCCAGTGTCACACAAGCTAGTAAATGTCTGAGGCCAGATTTGAGCTCACAAAGAGGAGACTTCCTGACTCCAGGCCTGGCACTCTATCCCTTGTACCCCTAGCTGCCTTGTATTTATTTATTTTCAATCTTTATTAATTTTATATACTTACATATGTAATAATAACTATTATTTACATAGTACTGGTTATGTGCCAGGGACTGTGTTAAGAACTTTTGTAAATATTATCTTACTTTATCCTTAAAACAATTCAGGGAGGTAGGTACTATTATTATCCCATTTTATAGTTGAGGAAACTGAGGCAGATAAATGACTTGCCCAGCATCACACAGCTAGTAAGTATCTAAGGCTGGGTATAAACTCAGGTCTTCCTAATTTCAAGTCCAGGGCTCTATCCACTGGACCACCCAGCTGCCTATGTACTTATCTTTCCAATTAGAATGTAAGTTCCTCATTGTTAGAGATTCCTCCATTCATTATGTTTACATCCCTAGCATAATGCCTGACACATAATTGTGGCACTGGGTTGTTGAATGATTGTTCAAATGATGGAGAGTCAGCATTCGAAGTCAGATTTTCTGATTCAGTCTAAGCAATCTTGTAGAATTTTTTTTTTCCAGGAGAGGAGTTCATGCCTGTAAACAGTATCCATCAGCTCCATCGGGAGCAAACATTTATTAAGCATCTACTATGAGTCAGCCACTGGGCTAAGCTCTTTACCAATGTTATTTTTGTTTTTAAAAGTAAAGAAAAACACCCAATGTTGTGACCATATCTGACAACATATACAATATTCTGCCTTAGTAGCCCCCCACCTCTCTGCTGAGAGGAAGATAGTATGTTTTGACATCTGTTCTTTGGGGTCACTATTCATTTTTCCTTTTGCTCAAAGTTTAGTTTCCATTTCACTTATTTCGTTTTTCTTATTATATCTGTTGGTTTTTTAATTCTACTTATTTTGCTCTAAGTGGCACAGTGGATAGAGTACTGGGCCTGAAGTCAGGAAGACCTGAGTTCAAATCCAGCCTCAGACACTTATGTTACTTTGGGCAAGTCACTCAATCCCGTTTGCCTTGTTTTCCTCATTTGTAAAATGAGCTGGAGAAGAAAATAGCAAACCACTCTAGTATCTTTGCCAAGAAAACCCAAAATGGGGTCGTGGAGAGTCAGACACGACTGAAACAACTGAACAACAATTTTGCTCTGGACCAGTTCCTACAAATCTTCCCACGGTTCCCTGAATTGCTCATTATCACTACATCTTACTGCACACTAATATTGCATTAAGTTGACATACAGATAAATAGCTAACATATTTATTATGCCTTAAAGTTTGCAAAGTACTCCACATGTGTTATTTAATTTTGCAGCCATTCCTGAATATGTGTTGCTAATGTTTTTTTTTTTAATTAAAAATAAATTGGGGGGAGGATGTTTCCTGGGAGCAACAAGGTACCCAGCAAATCAAGGGAGTTTGGGGATTTGCCCGAGGTCATATATGTGCTCTGGCTCCACACCTCATTCTGTCTGCATCTGGGAGAAATTCTAGTTCTCCTTGATGTCTATGTGGCCTTAGGCAAATAACTTCCCCTCTATGGGCCTCAGTTTCCCCTCTGTAAAATGAGGTGGCTAGACCAGAGGACCTCTAAAGACCCATTTCAACTCTAGAGTCGGGATTCATAGGAAAGTGTGTGTGTGTGTGTGTGTGTGTGTGTGTGCGTGCGTGCATGTGTGTGTGTGTGTGTGTGTGTGTGTGTGTGTGTGTGTGTGTGTGTTAGGTAAGTGTCTGTGATGTCCAGTAGCTCTTCACTGTGAGGCTAACGGAGCTCTCTCTTCTTCAAGAACAGAAATAAAAGACATCTAAAGATCATAGCTTGGTCAATCCCTCCAGCAATCAACATGCATGTTTTAAGTGCTTACTGTGTGTTGGTCTCTGGGCTGAGCTCTGGGGATACATACAGAAAGAGAAGAAGGAAGGAAGAGAGGAAGAAGGGAGGGAGGGAAGAAGGAAGGAAGGAAGGAAGGAAGGAAGGAAGGAAGGAAGGAAGGAAGGAAGGAAGGAAGGAAGGAAGGAAGGAAGGAAGGAAGAAAAGAAAGAAGGAAGGAAGGAAGGAAGGATGGGAAGGATGGGAAGGAGGGAGGGAGGGAGGGAAGGAAGGAAGTGCTTACTATGTTTCAAGTCTAATAAAGTCAACAAGCATTTGTTGAGTGCTTACCATATATGCCAGGCACCATACTAAGTTTAGAAATATAAATACAAGCAGAAAGAAAGACAATTCCTGACTTCCAAGAACTTACATTCAAATGGGACAATATAACATATTTTAAAAAATCTGGAAAAAGGGGTGGGGCAGGAGTGAAGTTACCGGAGGAAGGGGATATTGTGGAGAAAGTATACTGGGAAGAGTCAGGGATGCAGCCTAGAAAAGAAGGCACGGGGTGGGGGGTCTGGTCATTCTCTGTAAAATGGGGTTTCTGAAAGGAACCAGCCAGTAAAAGAGATGAGCCAAAATGGTAAAGTGTACTTCCAATATATTAAGCCCAGGGCTAGAGTGAGCTTCCAGGGTGGAGAGGTTTCCAGGGCATGGTAGAATACGTCCAGGAGGAGAGGCAAGAATGACTAGGAAAGAAACACTGTAAGAGACAATAGAGGGAAAAACAGATTAATTAGAAGTCATCTTCTTTAAAAGAGAATTAATTAATGCTACCTGTCTTTCAATATACCAGTCCCTGTCTACTATTTACCAGCCCCACTATGGTCTCCTGTGACTAAAGTTTATCATTAGTTTTCTAAACCTATAAAGATGGTTTGGACAAATTATTAAATACATTTTTATTAACACTTTAAAAAAATCCATGGCAATCACTTCCCAATACTCCACCCTCCTATCCACGCCACCCCCCATCCTGATTGAACTCTCCTTGGTAATGAAGAAGCACATTTTAGCAAAACAAACCAATATATTGTCCTTTTTCACAGTATATACCTGATTTTGCATCTGTAGTCCACCATGTCACAGTGACCTGAAGGAAGCTTATTTTATCAGTCCCTTGGAATCAAGATGGGTCATAGCATTTATATGAGTTTCAATGTCATTCAGTTTTGTTTTCTCTTACTTTATTATAGAAAATACACATATTTGTATGTTTTTTTCCTGGGTCTGCCTTCTTTGCTCCGCATCAATTCATACAAATCTTCAAAGACTTCTCTGAATTATTAAAGCACAATATTTTTCTATTACATTCATATGCCACAATTTGTTTAGTCATTCCCAAACTGATGGCCTCTCACTTTGTTTCCATTTTTTTTACACACACATACACGAAAATACTGCTATGACTATTTTGATATATATGGGAACTTTCTCTCCGTTATTGACCTCTTTGAGGCACATGCCCAGCAATAGGATTTCTGGGTCAAAGTATAGAATCAGGTTAGTTTCTTTCTTATCACAGATCTAAATTGCTTCCAAAAACTTACAGCTCCCCCAATAGTGTGCTGGTGTGTCTGAATTTCCACAGCTCCACCAATGATGCCTATTTCCATTTGGTCTCATTTTAGCTAATTTGGTGAGCATGAATAAAGGAAGGCTCCAACTTGTGCCCATTTGCATTTCTCTTATCGTTACTGATTTAGAGGAATCTTTCAGGTAGAGATGGATAATTTGCCTTTTGTTTTTGGTCAGCTGTTTGTTTGTATCCCTTTGGATCATCAGATAATATTCTGGGTCCACTAGTGGAGGAGTTCATTTGGATCACCCCTGCCAATTTAGTACCTAAATGATGAGGGACCTGGGCATGGTGTCATAAGAGGAATAGATGACAGCACTGATGATACTTACCTTAGAGAAGATTCCTTGAGGAGAGACATAATTGCTCTCTTTAGCGCCATGAAGACAAAGGTACAGGCTTATTCTGTGTTCCCCTACATGGTGGAACTAAGAGGAATGAGGGAGAAATTATAGGGTGACATATTTCAACTTGATAGAAAGGCTTTTCTAAGAATTATAGCTGTTTGGAAATGGAATGGGCTCCCTGTATAGATAGTGAGTTCCCCATCATTTTAAGTGTTTAAGCAGAATCTGATAGGGATTTTTATGGTTGGCTTGATTTTTTTGGAAGGAGGGGGAGGGGTTGGATGGATTACTGCTAAGACTGACTCCACCTCCAGTAGGTATGACAGACCCAATGTAAGTTTCTTAAGAATAGAGACTATCATTTTTTTTTTCTATATCCCAATGCTAAATAGACACTGAGGCATACTGGATAGAAAGTCAGCCTCTGATCCAGAAAGAACCAAATTTAAATCCCCTTTATGACATATCTTGTACATGTGACCTTGGGAAAGTCATTCATATTCTCAGTGTTCTAGATAAGATTCTAAGGTGCGGAGAAACTGCCAACCTGAATTGACAGAGGAAGCTTCCTTACCTGGGAGTTCCATATACCCATAAGATTATAGATCCAGTGCCTGGCATATAGTTGGTATTTTATAAATGCTTGTTGAATTTCAGAGGATCATAAATTTAGAGTTAAAAGGGACCTTGGAGGTCATCAAGTCTAACTGCCATATTTTATAGTGGGGGAAACTGAGGCACAAGGTGACTTGCTTAGGTTCACACAGCTAATAAATGTTGGGAGGGATTAGAATCCAGGTGAGTATGACTCCAAGTCTATGACTCTACCCATTCTACCATGCTAATTCTATATTTATCACATTAAATTTCATCAGAAATATATCAATTAAGCCAACAGGCTCTCTCTAAGTTTCCAGAAGCTAAGCCAAGCCAGGACTTGTACAGTGGACTTGGAGTCAGGGGACCTGACTTCAAATAGCAACTCTTCTTCTTGCTAGCTGTGTGACCTTAGGCAAAATATTCCATTTCTCTGTGTCCCGGATTCCTCTGTGTAAAACGGGGAGATTGGACTAGATGACCTCTAAGATCTTTGTTGTTCAGTTGTTTTTCAGTGGTGTCCAACTCTTCATGATCCCAGAGATACTGGAGCTGTTTGCCATTTCCTTTTCCAGCTCATTTGACAGATGAGGAAACTGAGGTACACAGGGTGAAGTGACTGTCCCAGGGTCACACAGTTGGTAAGTGTCTGAGGCTGGATTTGAACTCAGTGCTTCCTAACTCCAAGTTTAGTATTCAATCCACTGCACCACCTAGCTAAAATCCTATCCAATGTGAAATCTGTGACCCTGTCTATGTAATAGCAAGGCATGCTCACTGGCTAACAGTTCACATGGGTTATTTTGTTAGTGAAAGTATGCATGTAGAAGAAATACTCCATCTCTTTGCAGCTCCCATCCCTCAAAGGCACAGCACTTGTGACAGCTGATATGCCTGGATGTCACTGTCACTTGTAACCAGATGAGAAGTTGCTTAGTTGATTCTTGGGGTCCTGGTCCCCAGGTTGAGAAAGCACCAAAGTGATAGCTAATGGCAGTTTTCTAATAATCAGAACAAGAAGGGATGTTCCAATAGGAATCAAGCACTATAATCAGACAACCCCCAAAATGAGGTTATAAAGAGGCTGGCAGGACTAAAAGACTTGAGTGAGCCGCTTCAGGGCTTCAGTGTGGTACAGGAGAAAGTGTTACACTTGGAATTTGCAGACCTGGATTCAACGCCTGTCTTGGATCCTTATCAGTTTGCATGACCCAGAGCAAGTTATTAAAACTGTATTGGCCTCAGTTTTCTTGTTTGAAAAATAGGGAATAGACTAAGTGCCTTCTGAGGCCTCTTCTAGCTCTCAATCAGTGATCCTTGAAGCGGGTTCAAATCCTGCCTTTGTCACTTCCTACCTGTGTGACCTTGGGCAAGTCACTTCTGTCAGAGCCTCCGTTTCTACATCTATAAAATGGGGGTCTTAAACTAGATGGCCTCTGAGGTCCTTTTGACCATAAACCTATGGTCCTATCACCTATATACAAATTTCTATGATTCTCCTTCTTATCTGCCTCTGCCACTTTGGGTCTCAAATTGCTTATCTAGAGATAAAAAGGTTAGACTAGAACCAGATAATCTCTAATTACTCAATCAATAACCATGTATTAGGCTCCTATGTGTTCTAGGCACCATGCTAGGCATTGGGAGTACCAAGAGAACAATGAAACATTTCATGCCCTAAAAGAAGCTTATGTTCTATCAGGATAAACAATATGTACTCAGGTAGATGTGAAAGCTTTGAAAAGATCAAACCCTATGAACTCATAGCCAACAGGCCTGCTTGGCTGGCTGTGGTTAGTCTGCCTCTCTTCAGTTTAGCTTACAGAAGGAAACATTTTTAACAAGTGTATTTCTTGCTGATGAGGAGCAGACAGACAGAAGGATAATAACACTCTGCACCTCTACTGCTCTCAACAGACTTTCATCTGTTAGCGCACACTCTAACCAGGAGAAGGGGTTGAAATCCAAAGAATGATACTTCATGTAAACAGTGCAGATAACACCTTACACTGAGGACATGCTGTTCCTGTCTGACAATTATTCTCTCAACAGAAGTCGATTTTCTCTCAAACGGCCATAAACAGCCTTGCGTAACTATTCCAAACAATAAATACACAGCACTCAATGACTGGGGATACACCCTTCAAGCACCATGATTTCATGTCCACCCAAATCACCTGCCATCTTGTTGGCTAGCCTTTGTCTCCCATGGCTGTATCTTCTTCATCCCTTTGTTGAGGTCTTGCTCAGCTTCCTTTGAAGGACTATCTCAGAGCTTACAGTGATTTTCCAACAGGAGTGAATTAATCATGGTATTATCTTTTATATCTACCCATCTTCCACCCTCTTCATCTCCCACCAATGTAGTTCAAAAGAACAGAAAGACCTCCAGGATGCAAGAGGTATCGATCAGTGGACTCTCACCTTTGGCTCAAAAGTCAATGCTAATTTACATGTTATGAATGCAATCTGAAAATACTTGGAAACTCTCCCAGTCTTACCTTCTTTTCATAGACATCCACAACTATGCATTTTTGCCTGAATTTCCCAAGGGCTCCCCAAATCTTGTTTCTTAACAAAAAATCCCTGGCATTTTTTTTAGTTGGAGAAGCTTTTAACATGCATTATCTCATTTGATCGTCATAACAACACTATAAGGTAGGTACTCCAGCTGCTGTTACCACATTTTATAAGTAAAGGAACTGAAGCTTAGGGAGGTTACGTGACCTAAAAAAATGTAAGTGCCTGGAAGACAGAAACTGTTTCCTTTTAGTTTCTGTATCCCTAGAAAGAGAGTATGGATTGAGAGTGGATAGGGAGCTCTTTGGTTTTATGGGGATTTTTTGGTTCAGTCATTCAGTCATGTCTGACTCTTCACAACCCCCTGGACCATAGCACTCCAGGCCCTTCTCTCCTCTACTATGTCTGTCTGTCTAAGTTCATGTTCTTTGTTTCCATGACACTATCTATCCATCTCATCTTCTACCTCTCCTCCTTTTGCATTCAATCTTGCCAAACATCAGGGGTTTTTCCTCTTAACAGTATTTTATTTTTTCCTCCCCTCACTTAATAGTATTTTATTTTTTCCAATTACATGTAAAGATAGTTTTCAGCGTTCACTTTTATGAGATTTTGATTTCTAATTTTTTCTCCCTCTCCTCCACCCTCCCTAAGACTGCAAACAATCTGATATAGGCTATACATGTACAATCATATTAAATACATTTCCATGTTAGTGATATTGTAAAAGAAGAATAAGAACAAAAGGGTAAAATCACGAGAAAGAAAAAAAACAAAAAAGAGAGCAAACAGTGTGCTTCAATCTGCATTCAGATTACATAGTTCTTTCTTTGGATGTGGATAACATTTTCTATCATGAGTCTTTTGGAATTGTGTTAGATCTTTGCATTGTTGAGAAGAGCTAAATCTATCAAAGTTGGTCATCACACAATGTTGTTTCTGCGTACAATATTCTCCTGGTTCTGTTCAATTCACTCAGCATCAGTTCACATAAGTCTTTCCAGGATTTTTTGAAATCTGCCTGCTCATCATTTCTTATAGCACAATCATATTCCATTACATTCATATACCACAACTTGTTCAGCCATTCCCCAACTGATGGGCATCCACTCAATCTCCAATTCTTTACCACCACAAAAAGAACTGCTATAAACATTTTTTGTACATGTGGATCCTTTCCCTTTATGATCTCTTTGGGATACAGACATAGAAGTGGTATTCTGGGTCAAAGGGTATGCACAGTTTTATAGCCCTTTGGGCATAGTTTCAAATTGCTCTTCAGAATGGTTGGATTAGTTTACAACTCCATCAACAATGCATTGGTGATCCAATTTTTCCACATATTCTCCAACATTTATTTATTTTCCAGTGAGTTCTGTCTTCTCATTATGTGGCCAAAGTATTGAAGCTTCAATATTTGATTTTCCAGTGAATAGCTTGAATTAACTTCTTTAAATATTGGCTCATTAGATCTCTTTGCTGTCCAAGAGACTCAAAAGTCTTCTCCAGCATCACAACTCGAAAGCACCAATTCTGTGATGCTTAGCTTTCCTTATAGTACGACTCTCACAGCCATACTACTCACAGCCACACATACAACTACTATATGGACCAAAGTGATGTGTCTGCTTTCTAGTATGTTGTCCAGATTTGCCATAGCTTTCTTTCCAAGGAGCAAGCATCCTTTAATTTCATGGCTGTCGCCCTCATCTGCACTGATCTTTGAGCCCAAGAATATAAAACACTGCTTCTGTTTCTTCTCCTTCTATTTGCCAGGAAGTGATGGGACCAGTTGCCAAGATCTTGGTTTTTTTTAATGTTAATCTTTGAGCCAGCTTTTGCAACGTCCTCTTTCATTCTCATCAAGAGGCTTCTTAATTCTTCACTTTCTGCAATCACAGTGCTATCGTCTCTGTATCTGAGATTGTTGATATTTCTCTCAGCAGCCTTAATTCCGGCTGTGG